CAGCCTCCCCGCCTCTGGATACGCTCAAGTCAACCTGAATAGCAGCAAATTGCTCTACCAAAAAAATTACATGCCGGATAGCCAACAAGTGCAGTCAGATGATTCTTATCAGTCATGTCATTTTAATAACGGCGAGGGGCGCTTTCATTTCCAGCGAGGTACACTAAGTACAGACGATGGCAGGCTCATTAGTTTCGATTCAGTGGGTTCGTTGTCAGTTAGTTCTAGCAATTACAGTTCTTTAAGTTTAAAGTCTTGTGAAAAGGACGGCGAGGATGATATTAATGACGATTTCTTGGCCCACTGCAGTCCCAAGCTAGTGATCCAGCAGAGCATAGATGAAATCACCCCGCTGAAGGAGTCCACGGACCTTTTAGACATTTCCAACTTCACGCCTGATAAGTTCCGCCAGTCGTCGCTGTCGGAGATGTCCCCGCCGGACACTCCCAACCTGTCCCCGCAGATAGCTGGCTCTGACGCCAAGCCCCTGGGCACCCTGAAGGGCTTTCAGGAGAACCCCCAGGCCACCCTCAACAGCTCTGAGAAGGTCAAGTGGAACTGCGGGGTCCTGCAGACCGAGGATCAGGCAGATAATGGGTTTGCTTTAAATAATCACCAGTTCCAGTTCCATATGTTCAACGATGAAGATTCTGTCAGCCTTCTCGAAAAGAGTCCATGCTTGTCAACGTTTAATGAGCCATCTGGTCAAATTAGCACCAATAGCAAAGTGTCAAAATCAAAGAGGAAAAGTTCATCCAGCAAGAATGCGGGTACAAACCAAAGCTCTTCCCAGAAAGCCACCCGGAAAAAATCGCCCAAGACCAACAAAGCAACCGATAAGCCGCAAGGGAAGAACTCCAGGCAGGCGCCCAAATCTGCCAGGAAAGGGAAAAACGTGGCGGGAGTCAACGGCGAGAAGGCTCCGGCCATTGGCGGCAGGGTGGTCAACCAGCTGAGCAACACGGCCACCGCCACCAAGGGCCTCGCCGAGAGCACTCCCCATTGCAGCCCGGCCGGGGTGAAGCTGGGCAAGCACAACGGGCTGTCCGGAGAGTGGGCGCTGGGAAAAGAGGGGAGCACGGGCTGGTCGGAAGCCAGCCTGGGCAACGCCACCAGCCTCCTGGACGATGATCAGAGGGAGTTTGAGGAACCTTCCAACATCTTGTCCAACATTGCGTCGGGCATGGCGGACGTCCAGAGGTTTATGATGGCCTCCATCGAGCCCTTGTGGGGGCCCGTTGGCCACAACAGCGTTCCAGACATATTCCGATCACCGGAGTCCAACAGCCTGAAACTGAAAACCCTTAAAATTTTGGCAGGGACATCCCAAGAGTCGAAGAAGAAGGCGAACGGCGGCTCGCCGGGAGCGGTGAAGAACCACAAATCGAACAACAAGGGCTCAAGCAAAAACGGCAAAGCCGCAACCTGCGACCCCGCTCGCCCCAACTGCTCGACCGGGTACGCCACGGACATTCCCGCTCCCTTTTTTGATAAAAACTATAGTAACCTGAGCACTTTAGGCAATAACGGACCTACCCATAAAAAACTCTACCGTCACAAATCCAGTTCGAAATCACTGAGGGATGAGAACTGTAAAATAAAGCGGACGGACCGCGAGCAGCCCCACAAGGACCCACCCGTGACAGCTGCTTTTGAGAAGCTGAGGTAATGCTGCACCAAACTGGCTGGAATGCCCCTTAACCTCCCCCCCCACCTGCTAAGCCCGCTGCTCCTCTGTTTTTCCTTCTTGAAAGCAAAAGTTGCATGAAAAAAAAACAAAAACAAAAAAAACACAAAACAAAAACAAACCACCAAGACGTTCCCCTTTTCCAGTTTCGGTTGGTTTTGGTTTTGGGGTTTGGTTTTTTTTCCCATTCGGTTGGGGTTTTTTTAAATGCATGAAAATACTTCTTACTTGCGAGCTACCTAAAAGAATGAGCAATTTTCTGGCTTGGCTGGGGTTAAAAAAAACTAACAAGGCTACTCTTTTCTGCTGTTCGGCTTCTTCAGTTTTTAATTACTTATTTATTGGGGGAGGGGAAAAAAAAACACCCACAAAACCATGACTGCGTGCTCTTTTTAATGGTTTAGACAAGGAAAAGAGACTTTTTTTTTTTTTTTTGACCGTTTTGTAAAAAAATAAACCACAAAAAAAAAAAAAAAGAGAGGTTATGCATCCAAAAAAGCCAAGATCTCTCCACTTCAAGGCTCTTTACTTTTTGCAAACGAGGACTCGTTGCGAATTGCGCTTCGCGCGGCGATTCCGAGTGCTTTCGGGCCCCCTCTGCTGTTTTTCTCCTCGCCTGCATCATCTCCAGCCGCAGCGTCGGTCCCCGCCGGCACGTTCGCTCCGTCCTGGCGACTCCAGGCAAGCGAGCAAGCCAAGATGGCATCAAATGTTTGGTTTTCTTCCCGCAGGGAATCAGACTCCGTTCTTCTTAAAGCAGAAACAGCGTTTTTGGGTTTTCCTCTGTTTGAAGAAGAGACTCCCTTTTCTCGAAAGACGCTTGACGTTTGTTTCTTTTTTGGTTTTCCTTTTTTTTTTTTTTGCCTTTTTTTTCAGTTGGGGTTTTTTCCCCCCCCCCGTCTTCTCGAAATCTGCCTTGTGGTACGTTGAAATGTGAGTGCTGAGAGGAAGAGTTGGAAATTGTGGGAATCCGATCATTTGAAGGCGACCCCAAGCTGGCGTTCCCCGCGAAGGACTGTCCTCAGAGTCATACTGGTGTACAGCGGTTTCTGCACTACTACCCACAGCAACAACAAAATTGTGCCAAACGATGAACAAGTGACTGCATTGTATATATTTTTACTTCTCTATCAACATCGGGTTGTGAGTGTTTTCTGCAGCTATGCCTTTTGGTTTGACTAGAAACATTCCAGTTGTTAAGTACTAACCCCTCCCTGCCCCCCCCCTTTGAAAGCACCTGTAACTCACGGTGAAAACGGTATCGTTCGCTTGTACAACTGACCAAAAGTTCTATGGACATGACTAAAAGTGTGCCAAATTTACTTACCAAGAGGGGGGGGGGAAGGGAAAAAAAGGAGGAAAAAAAGAAAAAAGGGAAAAAAAAGGAGGAAAAAAAGAGAAAAAAGGAACTTTGAAACCAATGCTGGGAAATGGTAATGTCCTCTCTTTGAAACCGTGAGCAGAAAAACTTCATGGCAAAATGTCGAGTGTCATTCCAGGAGAGAGCTGAGATGGTGGCGGAGTTCGGAAAGCCGCTGACGGTAAGTTGTCTGCCGGGAGCTCGAGCGTCTGCATCCAGAGACCACAGAACAGCTGCTCTTCGAGTGTCTGTTTTCCGACAGCAAAACCTGTAGCCGAAGATCATTTGAAATGCAAAGTTACATTGCTAACTCTTTGTATCTCAGTTTTATATATTTTATAAGAACCTGGGATAGAGTCTAAAATAGCTATAAAAACAGGACTAAGACATTTCATGCATTTATTGCTATTTCCTTTTCCTTTCGGTAGTTTCTCAAACATTTCCGATGCAGAGCCTGCCAGCAGCGCTCTCCTCTCATAGCGTTGGTGTCTCCGAACCATCTAACCTTGCGGTGCCAATGTAGTTTGAGCTTTTGAAAGCGAAGTCATTAGTTTTAAATACGACTCCGAACCTTTTCGTTGATTCAGTTCATAAGAAAAAAAACAAAAACCAGAGCTATTTGTGATCTCACCGATCAGGGCTGGATCATACATGACTGGACTTTATTAAGACAGCGTTAAGTATTGAATGCTAAATGTATTCTCAAAAGGCCTTATTTATAACCCTACTCACCGCACCCTCACCCTCCGAGACAGTAACGAACCCAACAAATCTCTATTTTCCTTGTGCAACTGAGAGCCTGTGCGTTTTGCTGCTGCTTTCTGATGCAACCTTGATATGCAAGAGCCCTGCGAACTGGGAGCTGCGGGGAGCGGAGGGACGCGAGGCCGGGACACGCTGACGCGATAGAGAACAATGAGGAAGAGGAGCTCTGATAGCAGCCGGGCGGATGGCGGTCTCCACGTGGTCGTGAGCATGGAGGTGGTGTTTGGCAGGGGACGGGGCTGGACTCGGGGTCCCTTACCAGCAGGTTATTCTTCAGGCAAAATTGTTTTAAATTAATTTAGCAAAAAAAGCGGACTGAACACTTAAAATTGGAGTTGCAAAGTGCCGATTCAGAATCAAAATGTTTTCGGCGTTTGCAGGTCTTGAGATGTAGCTTAGGCTCCGCTCTGCAGTCCCGGAGGGACCAGCACAGCGACCGCAGTGCGTTTTATTTAACAGATAAAAGAAGGAACTCTGAAAAAATAGTAATTCTCAAAACTATTGTAGAAGTTCTTTTATTCCATGAAAAAATGCAATGCTGGCGTTGCCCGGAGCGAGTTGCTCCAGATGAGAGCAGTCCCTGGGTACCCCAAGGGGTTCAGCATCCCACCCGGCTCTGGCTCCAGGAGGGAGATCCAGAAGATGCTCAGGATTTGGTTTGGAGACAGAGCTGTGCTCGGGCTCTGTCCCCAGGTGTTTGGCTTGCCTGCAGCCACCGTGCTCTCCTCGGCTTCCCCAGCAGCTGTCTTTTCTGTTCGTAGGGTCATCAGATACTCCAAGCTCCGGCCGCTGCTGTGGTGTTGGCATATCCCGGTTTTCCAGTGTTCCTCCTGCGTGCTGCGGGACGGGGGGCTGCCGGCTCCCTTCTTTCGGATGTCCAGGCTGCTGCTCCCATGGAGACAGGTCAGGTTCAGGGCTGAGATGCGGCAGGGCCTTTCTTTTTGACCCAGAACCATCATTTGAAAGCACATTTCGGCTGGCCTGCACTGTGCTCGTTACGCTTAATATTACGAGTGTGGGACTCGTGATAAAACACCTTGTACTGAACCAGACAGCAATATTTATTGCATTCAAGAAATGTGCAATAGGGCGTGAACATAAGGCGTGAGATGTATTGACTGTTTTATTATACGTTGGAAATCCACGAAGACCCAGCTAGGTGTTTCAGGACGGTGTGAATCGCAAATACCATCTGCCTTTCTGCTCTCTCCTTCAGTCCTTTCATCACTTGGATTTCGCTGCCATCTTCAGTGGTCATCCGATGTCCTCCCCAAAAATCTCTGACTGGGGAGATGTTAAAGAGCCCAGATCCCTCATGGTGCAGCACTGGCCCTTCTCTGCGTCTGAAAAAGTGATCTCTCCGATTGACCCCAAAACTTGGAAACTGCCTGGAGCCAACCATTTGCCCTCCTCCCTTTTGATCTTCATAGAATGGTTTGGGTGGGAAGGGACCTTTGAAGGCCATCGCGTCCAAGACCCTGCCGTGAGCAGGGACATCTTCAACTTGGTCAGGTTGCTCAGAGCCCCATCCAACCTGGTCTTGAATGTTTCCAGGGAGGGGACATTGACCACCTCTCTGGGCAACGTGTGCCGGTGATTCACCACCTTCATCGTAAAAAATCTCTTCTTTAAGTCCTTCTCTTGAGGGCTGCTCTTAATCCCTTCATCCCCCAGCCTGTATTGATACTAGGGGTTGACCCGACCCAGGTGCGGGACCTTGCACCTGACCTTGTTGAACCTCATGAGGTTCACAGGGTCCCACTTCTCAAGCTTGTCCAGGTCCCTCTGGACCGCATCCCGACCCTCAGGCGTGTCGACCGCACCACTCAGCTTGGTGTCACTGGCAAACTTGCTGAGGCTGCGCTCAATCCTGCTGTCTAGGTCATTGATGAAGATATTAAGAAGCACCGCTCCCAGTATGGACTCCTGAGGGACACCAGTTGTCACCGATCTCCATCTGGAGATCAAGCTGTTGACCACTACCCTCTGGGTGCAACTGTCCAACCAATTCCTCATCCACCGACCACTCCACCCATCAAATCGACATCTCCCCAATTTAGAGAGAAGGGTGTTGTGGGGGACTGTGCCAAAGGCCTTACAGAAGTCCAGACAGATGACATTCGTAGCTTTTCCCTTGCCCACTGATGCAGTCACTCCATCCTAGAAGGCCACTAGGTTGGTCAGGCAGGACTTGCCCTTGGTGAAGCCATGCTGGCTGTCTCAAATCACCTCCCTGTCCTCCACGTGCCTTAGAGTAGCTTCTAGGAGGATCTGTTCCATGATCTACCCAGGCACAGAGGTGAGGCTGACAGGGCAGTAGTTCCCAGGGTCCTCCTTTCTACCCTTCTTAAAAATGGGTGCAATGTTTCCCTTTTTCCGGTCTCCAGGGACTTCACCTGACTGCCAGGACTTTTCACATACCATGGTGAGTGGCTTGGCAACTACATCAGCCAGTTCCCTCAGGACTCTGGGATGCATCTCGTCAGGCCCCATAGACTTAGGTATATGTTCAGGTTCCTTGGGTGGTCACGAACCTGATCTTCCCTTACAGTGGAAGGGACGTTGCTCCCCCAGTCCCCGTCTTGCGGTCCGTCCACTCAAGAGGTGTGAGAAGAGAGGTCGCCAGTGAAGACTGAGGCAAAAAAAGTTGGTGAGTACCTCAGGCTTCTACTTGTCCTTGGTTAGCAGTTTGCCAGTCTTGCTCATCGGGGTGGGGGTACGCTTGCCAGTGAAGACTGAGGCAAAAAAAGTTGGTGAGTACCTCAGGCTTCTACTTGTCCTTGGTTAGCAGTTTGCCAGTCTTGCTCATCGGGGTGGGGGTACGCTTTCTGCCCAGGGCAGTGGTGGAGTCCCCATCCCTGGAGGGGTTCAAAACATGTGTAGATGTGGCACTTCAGGACATGGTTTAGCAGGCACGGTGGTGTTGGGGTGGTGGTTGGACTTGATGATCTTAGAGGTCTTTTCCAACCTATGACTCTATGACTCTTTGGCCTTCCTATTCCAGCCGACTTACTTGTAGAAGCCTTTATGATTATTCTTTGTGGCCCTTGCCAAGTTGAGCTCCATCTGCGCCTTGGCCTTCCTGACCCCTTTCCTACACAGCCGGGCAGTGTCCCAGCACCCTTCCCAGGATCCGTGTCCCTGCTTCCACTGCCTGTGCATTTCCTTCTTGCCCATTAGTTTGACCAGCACGTCTCGACTCTGCCATGCTGGTCTCTTGCCTTCCCCGCCTGGTTTCTTACACCTTGGTTTGGAGAGTTCTTGCGCTCTATGGAAAGCATCCTTAAAGGTCTGCCAGCTCTGTTCTGCTCCCCTGTCCCAGGTGTCCTACTGACTCAGTCTTTGAAGAGCTGGAAGGTGGCTTTCCTAAAATTCGTCTCCACCTGCCTCTCACTACCTCAAGATCTTCATCACTTCCCACCTTTGCCTCATGTCTTGCCCTATGAGCTCGCCTTTTCCGCTTGCCCATCTTGTCGGTACTGGTGAACTTTTGTTTTTCACGGCACTGCTCCCAGCTGTGGGAGGAGCGGGACGTCGGTCCCATCCATCCCTGCCCACCCTCCGCGCACCCTGGGGCTCCATGGAGTTGGCTCCCACCTCGGCTCATCCTCTTGCCCAGTTCCCGTGCGCTCCCAGCCTCCTCTCCCGTCTCCAGCAGGGCTCCTGCCTGTTCGGGGCCACTCATCCAAGCCACACAAAAGACGTTTGTTCTCCAGCGTCCCTCAAAATGTCTTTTCTACTTTACCTCGTTTCACTCCTGCTCTACAACGTCCCACTGGTTGCCCTGTGAGAGGACCAGTGTCCGCGACGCTGCTCTCC